TCTATCTATCTATCTATCTATCTATCTATCTATCTATCTATCTATCTATCTATCCATCCATGTGTATATTATACACACACATACACCCATTTACTGGATTGTACTTTGTGCCTGGAACATACAGTACTATAATACCCCCCTCCCACCCAAAGTATTTTAACATTGCACACTATGGATGAGTGAGATCCATGAAGCATTGTTTATTATTCCATCAGTTTGTTTTAAAGTAACTTCTRATKAACATCTAACTGGTTTTCTCTGTTAAAGTTTGCGCTCTGACATGTCACATGTTTTAACAATGTTTAATTCATGTAGTTCTTGAGTAAAACCTCCGTCTCTTCTAGATGAAAACAAAATAACTGGTGATTACTTCAGTTTTTGAAACTTTTGTTAAATAACAATACTAAAGTAGAATAATTATTAGAGAAAACAATGAAAGGGCTTGCCACGTGTCACCCTATTTAAACAAAGACCTGTTTGTTGGAGATCACTGTGATCTACTGCCATCTCAGGTTTGAGCCACACATGTCTAAAATTAGTTGAGTGATGGTCAGTTTTGCATTTTAGWTATGGTAGCCATCTTGGATTTTTAGTTGTTGTTCAGCTTGTTCTTAGCTTTTACTATACCAGTTTTCAGCYCTGTAAGACTTAAATTGGCTGAATTAGAGCCTTTTTGTAAATTACCATTAGCAGTTAGCTTAAACTTGTGATTAACATTCAGAATGTGTCGAGTTTAGTTCACTCAACCAACTGCTGTGTGAAAACTATAAGGTCTATTGAAATAAATTTTGAACTTAAAATGACAGAAGATATTGGATTTTACGCTTGGAAATTTTCAAATTTGTACAACACTTTGTCTCAGAGATATGACAAGTTAAAAATAGTCATTGTTTTGCTTCTGAACCGGAGCTAAAACAGAAATGTTCCTGTTCAGTGACTTTTTATTCTTATTCATTTGATAAGGTAAGCTTTAATAACACTGCTGTTTTTAAAGCCCATCACCACTAAAGGAAAAATGGTGATAATGTCTGTATTTTGTGTTAGCAAAATATCTCATCAGTTACTGGAGGGATTTTTATGAAACTATCATGGATGAACGTTTAGAACGGATGAACCTTTTTGGAGACAATCCAATTCAAGCTGGCTGCACAGCTAATGAATCTTAAACACATAAAAGCAGATACTGAGTTAAACTAGTGTGGAGAGTCATTCAACATATACACAAGGAGCATCTGTACTCACAATTGTTGGAGTTAACTTGTCTGTTAGCAAAATATACTATGAACCACTGGACAACGGTGTTACAGAAAGGTTCAGTTGTTGGATGTATTTAAAAACAATATTTAAAGAGAAGCTAATCAACAACTAACTTACAATAACTCTAATTCAGTCAACTTTACAGAGTTAAACTAGTGTGGTAGTAGCTGAGAGTCATTCACAGCACACACTGTACGTGTCATGTTTTAAATTCAGTCTCTTTAAGGAAGGATGGGACTTTGAATTTTATGCTTTTTCATTAAATAAATAAGGCCACAATGCAGCAAAATCCATCCCTAACATAGTGAACGTAGATCTGAAAGTCAAACCATTTAGAGAAAACCTTTAGCAGACTGTCTGAAGCCTCGGATTTACATTCTTACTTTTTACCTTTTTTAAGTTGTTTAAAATGAAACAGCAGCTTTAAAGTGCCTGTGACATGCCTATCCTTCAAATACAAAAAGTCAAAGAAAGCATCTTTATACTTAAGAAAATTGGCATTGTCCACATGATTTTACCCATTTTGTTGCATAACTGGCCTATTTTCTTTTAAATTTGGCTCAGCCAAATCAAAACAGGAAGTGACATCAAAGGGGAACTCGATAATAAAAKAAACTCGCTGGTCTCTGTTTATTAAAGCAAAATTATTTAAACTTTAACTCTTTGTCTCTCGACAGCAACTAAAATAATCTAAACAAACATCAGATTTTTCTCTACAGTCTGTTAGCTTTTGTTACAACGCTCGGTTTACAAGCAGACATTCCTTTTTGACATCACTTCCTGTTTCTTCACAGGCAAATATCTCAACAACCGTTCATCTCAGAGGCGTGACGTTTGCTTTGCAATATGTTATCAATGTTATCTTTCCAAAAATGCATTCGTGTTTRTTACAAAAATTTGATGTCACAGGCACTTTAAGCTTCATCATTTTGTTAAACACAGCAGACATCACATGATGACTTKTTTTTTTATTGTGGTAGGATGGTTTTGTTTAAAGAAAACTACTTCCTGCTGATCAGTTTAGTGTTTCTGCTTTAATGCAGAGGTTTAGAGAAAATGTTTTACATTTCCTGCTTTAAAAACAGATGATCTGTAGAACCACTCATTCAGACTCAGTTTTTATTGTTTTATCCTTTCTTCAGGTTTCCAGCAGACTCTCTCTCTCTCTCTCATTTCATTTCCTGGCCGTATTTTCCTTCTTTCCCTCGCTGTCTGTTTCTGATTTCTCTTTCCCCTCCCTCTCACCCTCAACCTTCGCCCCCTCCTCTCCTCGTTTCCTCTGCTCCTTCCTTCGCTCTGGCTTGTAGGGGGTGGGCGAGTTCCTTCATGCTGCTTCTCTCTGATCAGTTCTCTGCTTTCCTCATCTGGGACAGCTTGTAGCGTTTTCAGGCTCAGCAGCTGGACTGTGGGCTCCTCTGCTTCCATCTCAGGTTGTTTTAAACTCCTTTTTACTACTTTGTGCAGTTTGTGCTGTAGTTCTGGTTCTGCTGTGTCTCTGTGTGTAGGTGTGTGTTTAACTGTGTTTGATTGAACCCGTTTTAGGAATCAGCAGGTAAAAGTATAACATTGCTGGATTTTATGAAGCTAAATGAGTCCTGGTCCACAGATCAGCCCGGACCCTCTGAGAGGGTCAGAGCTTCAGGGTCTGATTTGTTTGAGGAGCTGATGGTAAAACTGAACTGACTGCTGGGTCTTAAACTGCACATCTGTATTATTTATGGTCTGAAGGTGGACCTGGTAAGCAGGGACCACCTCTGGACTCAYGGGTCACCGGAGCTGAGCAGCTTGATTTGTAGATTTATTTAGTTTTCGCACATCTCGGATCATAAATAGATTGAAAATACTTCTTTAAATGACAAATGTCATGTAAGGCTAAATCTAATGTAATGAAAGTTGCCTTCCTTCCTTCCTGCATTCCTTCCTTCTTGTCTTGCATGTAAAAAGTTGTGCAACACTTTATTAAAGTATTCATTCCTCTCAAACTTTTCCACATTGTCACATTAAAACCATCAACTTAAAGTGATTGTATGTGACAAACCAATAGGAAGTGGCTCATGGTTGAGAAGTAGAGGGTTTTAAAAAATATTTTTAACACTGAAAATTTTGAAAAGTACATTTTGTTTTCAGCCACTGAAGCCAGTTTGAATATTATTTTTAAATCTAACAAAGTTTAAGTTTCTCAACTTTATTCCTGATCTGTCTGCTGTGTTTCTTGGTCTTCATGATGTTTGATCATTAATGTTCTGAGAATCACAGAACAGCTGGATTCATACAGACATTAGATTCCACACGTTTATTAATAAAACCATTTGAATAAATACATTTCAATAAAATAAAGTGATGAGCTCCTAAACCCAGTGACTGGTCGGCTCATCTAGCAGAATTAACTGCAGTCCAGGGTTTGCAGGAAGTGGAACTTTGGTCCTCATCATTACAGACTTGTTGGAAGCTTTCAGCATGGATTCAGGTCAGGACTTGGATCAGGCCGCTCCAAGGTCTTCGTTATGCTTAAAGTACCTGTGACATGCATATTCTTCAAATACAAAAGGTCAAAGAAAACATCTTTATATTTAAGGAAGTTGGAATAATACACACAATTTAACCCATTTTGTCTCATAACTGGCATATTTTATTTTGAACTTCACTCAAAGTGAAACAGGAAGTGACATCAGAGGGGAACTTTTTAACAAAAAACTCTGGTCTTTGTTTATTGAAACAATATTATTTGAACTCTGACTCTTTTTCATCTCTCTGATAGAGACTCAAAATAATTTTAAACATCAGATTTTTCTCTACAGTCTGTGTTTGCTGTTGTAGCAACGCTCTGTTTCCATGCAGACATTCCCCTTTGACATCACTTCCTGTYACTTCACAGGCAAATATCTTAACAACCCTTCATCTCAGTGACATGAAATTTATTTTGCAATATTCTATCAATGTCCTCTTTTTAAAAATGCATTCATATGTATTACAAAAATTTGACATCACAGGCACATTAATTGAAGTCACTCAAAAGGTGGAGACTCTGGTTCTGCAGCAGGACAATGATCTAAAACTCAGCAAACTCTTCTTCAGCTTCAGGTCACAGGCAGAAACCAGACGTTCTCCTGCAGGAGTTTCTGGTAGACGTCAGAACTTGTGGTTCCAGTCACAACAGCAGGTGTTCCAGGACCATCACACCACCATCACCGTGTTTCACTGCTGTACGTTTAACACCTCTTGTTTTGGGACAAACCTTTCAAGAGAGTTCCACTTTGGACCCGTCAGTCCTTTGAGTATTCTCCTAAAAGTCTTTGGGACCATCGATGTTTTCTGATGAACAAAGACAAGCCTTTATTGTTGTTTTTATCTGCCCTGCTGGTCATTTTCACTCTTGATCTCTTTCTCATGGTGCAGGCATGAACTGAGGCGAGCGAGGCCCGCAGCTGGAGAAAATACATTTCCTGTGAAGATGCTAGTGTGAATGCTTCTTGCTTAAAACTGCAGAAGAAGCCCAAGTCGAGCTGAAAAATTTTGGTGGCAAAACTGTTTAATGCAAGTTCAGTTTGAAGCATAAAAAGCTGAGAAAAGCTAAAAGAAGCTGAAGGAAGTTTAAATTTGCACATTAAAGTTTCAGTAAAATGTACAAGTTAGCAGCAGAATAGCTAAAGAGCCTGCAGCTCTGTGGTGCTGTGGGTTTCCCTTGTGGGTAACAGACATGCAAAACAATCAAATGAGGAACAAGGCAGATGCTTCTGTAGTTAAAATGTGCAGATGTTGGGTGGGTGAATACTTCTGCAGGTGCTGGATGTGTTGAATTATCTGTAAATTGAACTAAAGTTAGCTTTGACTGCYTATTGGACAGGGCCATCGCTAAAAGTTAACCAGATAAATCGCCATTAAATTGGATTTGCTGCTCCTTTTGTTTTTTAGACGAGATAAAGTAAAAGACRAAAAATGGACACAATAAAATAAAATGGAAAAGTTAAAATATAAAACACAATGTGCACTATACAAAAAAAAAATATATATATATATAAGAAAGAATAAGGATTTTTTTTGCAGAATCTACTTCTCAGTTACTTGAAAATACTGCACATGAGAAATACTACAAAAATAGTGCACTTGAGATATATTTCCCACATTTGATTTTGCCCATGGGGTTGAAATGAAATGTGTTGTTTGCCGTTATTTTCTGTTGTTCCGTGCCGTGATGGCTTTGGGGGAAAAAGCTGTTGTAGATCCAACGATTAAACAAACTTTTTAAAAAGGAAAGTACTTTGACCTTCTGAGAGGCGAGTCATTCTGCTGCTCGCTGAACAAAAACACTTTCAGTTTAGGTTTGACTCTTAGCTAACTTTCTTTATACCTTTTTTAGYTTCTGATTGTCTTTGGCTGCTCGTGTCTTCAGCACAGAGAAGCAGAATGAACACACCAGTTGTTTCTCTCTTCTGATTATCGGCCTTGACTTGTTTTGATCAAACCTGTGTAGACGTGGGCTGAAGTATGCAGGAGACGTGCACAATCTGACAAAACATGCATGTTCTCTGGATGTTTGGGGCTCTTTATTACACTTGGCTCCAGGTATTTTTATGTTCCAGTTAAGATCATTTCTTGCTGTTGTCGTGAGGTGATGGAAAACTGTAATGGAAACCAGCTGCTGTTTCCTGGACCGTTTATTGACTTTATTTTTAAACTTTACCTGGTTCTCATTATTTGACTCTAAATAACTTTTCTTACAGTAAAAACTGAATGCTATTAGAAAGTTCTTGTAAAAACCTGAGCGAGTCGTTATTACCTGTTGCTAAAAGCTCTGTTTCTCTCAAACCATGAAACTAATTTAATTATTTGAGGAACATGCTGGTACCAAAACCACACGGATAGTTTTWGTGAAACGTCCAGCTATAGAGTTAAAACTTCATGTTCCTGAGAGTGAAAACTAAAAACAAACCAGCTGCAAGATCTTAACCCAACCCTCTGATGTGAAGGTGGGTCACGGGCTTTCCTCCAAGGAATGCAGAACCTTTCAGGGTTTGATAAAGTTCCAGTGAATCCAAATAAATCCTCCATTAGGTTGTGTTGAAGACCTCAGTCTGGATGTTAGTAAAACTTTTTGAATTGGAAGTAAAGGAAAACTGAAGTGATGTTTGGTCCCTGCTGGTCTGAACCTGAACTCTGGTTCTGCATGTGGAGCAGGCAGTTTGGGTTTTATAAAAAAAAGTGATTTTAAATTAATAAGGCAGCGGGTCCTTCCTGAGCCCCCTCTAGCTGATTAATTCATTTTAATAATGTTTTAGTTTTGAAGTTTAAAGGCCCTGTGACATGCCTGTCCTTCAAATACAAAATGTCAAAGAAAACATCATACTGAAGAAAATTACCATAATACACATGATTTTACCTATTTTGTCTCATAACTGGCCTATTTTCTTTTGAACTTGGTTCAGCCAAAATGAAACAGGAAGTGACATCAAAGGGGAACTCATTGATAAAAGAAACTCCCTGGTCTTTGTTTATTGAAACAATATTATTTAAACTTTAACTTTTCATCTCTCTGATAGCGACTCAAAAAATTTCTAAAGAAACATCAGATTCTCTACAGTCTGTGTTGTTAAACTTTGTAGCAATGCTCTGTTCACATGCAGACATTCCCCTTTCACATCACTTCCTGTTACTTCACATGCAAATATCTCAACTGTTCATCTCAGCAACATGAAATTTATTTTGCAATATGTTATGTTATCTTTCCAAAAAAGCATTCATATTTATAAAAAATTGATGTCACAGGCACTTTAAATGCTCCAGCCTTCCTGTCTGAGCTGCTCCTGTCAGCTGAGCTCCTTCACTGTCTGCTTTTAAAACTCCTCCTTTATTCTCTGAGATTTGCCACAGCCTTATGTTTTTATTTTTTTACCTTTTTTAATTCTTTGTTTTTATGTTTTGTTTTAGCGTTGCAGCTGAGAGTTTTTGTTATAAAGCAGTTTTCATTTCCTGGTTTCTGCAGGTTCCAGAAGCTCTGCCCCCCTCCCTGGCTACTGGTAATCTGAGTGTTTTAAAGAAACGCTGGGAGCAGCGGCAGCAGCAGCCTCGGACCACCCCGTGCAGCCCCACAGCCCCCCAGTGCCACAGTTCATCTACCCTCTCCAAAGCGCCATCCTCTTCCTCACTGATCCAGTCCCAGTCTGGCAGACTGAAAAGGAGCCAGACTTGCTCTGAGACCAGGACCAGGAGCAGTCTGTCCCCAGATCCTGAAGACCAGATGGACAGCAGAGACCCAGAGAGGCAGGAGGAGTGGGCTGCAGCAGGGGGGTCTGACGTGGAAAACCCCAGCGTTCCCATCAACAGCCTGAAGATGATGTTTGAGAGAGGAGAGAGTCACGACAAGGCAGGTCCAACTCTCTTCACACACTCTCCTTTACTGWTCAGGATCCATGTTTTCCACTGAAGCAGAGTTCATACTGACAGCCTGTAAAAACATGGCTTTATTTGCTCTGAGGCAGCTTTTAAAGCAGCCTGGCCCTTGCCTTCCTACACAGTTCTGCTCAATTCTTTTCTCTGAATCATCTGGGATTTCTCCCATATAGACGAGGATTTCTTCGGGAGAATTTAAACTGGGCCAATCAGCGAACAGAAGGAGGAGTTGTGAACGATGACATTGATTTTCTGCTGTTTTATTCTGCCTGTAGTTTAGCAATAACAGTGAATGAAGTGAATGAAGACATTCAGTCCGTGTTAACAAGACTGTTTAAAGCACACACAATTTCCTGTTAGCTTCTTATCTTATGAGATTGGGTAAAATCAGAAACAATTTTTTTAAACTTCACTAGAGGCCACTCCTCCAACAAGAAATTGTTTCTCAATAGCCAAGAGTCCAGACCCCRTGTATGAAGCAAAGAGAAGAAAAGGGCTGGTTTCAACAGGCTAAAATTATAACCCAAACAAGACAAGTAATGTCACCTGAGCATTTGTTATTGTCTCGTTAGTTAAAGATCTACAACTGATCTAACYATCAGAGCCRATTTAAGATGGCCACCACAGTTATACCATCTGTTCCAATCCCAAAAAGACAACAGCTTAGTCAGATTTAAACATGCCTTCCTTTTTATATGCTGTTAACTGTGTGTGAGTTAAAACACAAAGTCCGTTTTATCTCAAACAAAGAATCCAGTTTCACTGATTCAGGCTTTTCCTCAGAGGAGTAATCTGACCTGACCCCACTGCAAAACACGCACGCACGCACGCATGCACACACACTCAGCTGACAGGAACATCCTCCCGGGCAGACTCCATGATGAGCCCCTGGTGTTATGTTTTATCAGGCAGTTCATTCTTTGTGGAGGAATGTACCATCCAGTCATGTGTTGCTTTGAGGCATGTAAAATATCATGAACTGATACTCAGAGTTTGACAGGTTCAACACACATCACCCAATTGTAGCAAGAGAGAGCCCTCGTGTCCTCAGAAGGCCGTTTTACCATTTTATATTTTTTCAGATTACACTCTGGTCTGACAGAGACTCATCACCAGTGCTTAAAGTAAAACATTTACTTATTAAAAACTTAATAAAAGATTAGGCCTTTATTGTCATCATACAGAGCACAATGAAATTACAGACCAAAAGACCATACTTCAACTCTTTTTTTGTGAACATTTACCTCTTATTTAGTTACGAGTGTGTATCAATAGCTGCGTTTCCATTGCAAATGTGCGCGAAACTTTGAAGATATTCTGTAAATGTAAAAAAAAAAATAAAAAAAAAAACAGTTTCGCAATTGTGGTGTTTCCATTAAAATCACGCATAAATATCTATGTTCTCACAATAAGTCATTACAAATGTGGTGCCAACTGATGTAAACACTTACATTCATATTGCTACAACGACACTAGCACTCATCAGCCGTCAGAGGAGATGTCAGCGTCTTATCGAGGCTTTCGACCGACAAGCCCCTTATACTTAGGAACAGCTACTTATGTGGCATTTTGGACAAAATGTAGTCAGTGATTTTACTAATTCTACTTCCTGTTGTCTTTTTCGTTGACWTTTTTGCCAGTAGTAACATCCGGTTGTTGATCACGTGACTCACGTGATGCGAAAAAAGTGTTTCCATTGCAGTTTTGCAAAATACACCAATTTTAATATGGCTGGAAAACCACCTTATCCTAGTGCAAAGCTATTTTGTTGAAAAACTTTTTTTTTTTCAAATTTGGCATGTTTCCATTAAGCTAATTTATTTTCGCAATTCTAATTTGCGCATTATTATGGTCAATGGAAATGCAGCTATAGTCACTGTAGCTGTGTTTCCATCTACACATTTTATGCACATTTTTAAGTGTCGCATTAGAAAAGGTGAACAAAAACAAAAAATTAGAAAAAACTACATTTTCGCTAAAATTTTTACTAAGGTTTTTTCCCTCGAAAAAGAGTTAATGCACAAAAGGGGAGATGGAAACACATTTTCTGAATTAGTTGTGAGGTAGCGAACATTTACCTTGATCAGCTGTTTCTACTGTCCAATAATTTTAATAATCCTTCTCCCGCTGTCTGCGTCTTCTCAGATRTTCCTGTGACATGAAGAGAATTGCATTTTTTTCTGTCTTCAGACAGGAGACAGAAAACACCAATACTAGTTGATATGACAGAATAATAACTTTTCTGATAGTAGCAACACATTCCTTATAACTTCTCTCCATTGTCCTGAGATGTATATCCCTGTGACTTTACAGGAAGTTGACTTTACCTCCTGTTTACTAATTCCTGTTTACTACTTCCTGTTTMCTACAGCCATGTGTAACGCCAATGTCTGACGTAATTACACTTTGTGTAACCAGGTTGATTCGCTCCAAGCCAGTTGATGAAAGCACGTCTGATTTACATTTTCTTCCCCCACCTTTGCAACATTTTAAAACTTCACTCAAAATTTGCATTAAAATTGGATGGAAAGACAGCTAATGTGACAAAGTTTGGGCTCTGGAAACCAACTACTGCAGAAGGATTGGATTCTCCTGTGCAGTTGTCCAGGGAGTGAGGAGTCAGATGGGTGTGGGGGTACTCACAAACCCCTGCAGCAGCACATCAGAGGGTTTCTTCTCTGGCTTCCAGCTGCAGGAGGGAAGGTTCTGACTGTTTGCATTTATGCACTCAAGTTACCCATCCCTGTCAGGGTGTCAGGATGGTGTCCTGGAAGGTTAACTTTTGTTCCCCTGATTGGCTTCCAATGTCCATGTGGTCAGTAATAGTCACCTGAAGGGGAGTAACTGGGAGGAACAGCCTCCTTGATCTGAACCAGAGCAGTGTTCTGTTATCAGACTTCTGCCAGGCCATGACGAACACCATGTTAAAGGTTAAGTGCTGATCATCAGTTTTGTAATCCTTTCATCAGATTTCAGCCTCATGTCTTGGTAGTTCTGACAAAGAAAGGGGCAGAGCTGTCAGCTGACCACCTGGTGGGGAGTTGAATCCTGATAAACCCAAAAAGTTTCCATGTCCCGGTCAGGAGCTGTGGTCTGAAGTTCACTGGTGCCTGTTGGTGCAGTGGAAACCAAAGGACCTGTTGGTGGACACCAGTGGTGATGAAGGCTGTCAAACTGAAAGAAGCCTTTTAGAGCTTCTGCTCCCTGTAGATTCCTGAAGCTTTAGACAGGTRCATGGTGACCAGAAGGAAGTAGGAGAGACCATGGAGGAAATGCTGTTTCTTGGCCTCAGGGTGGTTCTGACAAACTGTTCAGTAACTCAGAAAGAGAGTGCAGGCTCCTACCCAGATTCTGCTTGGCTTGGCTGTGGACCTGCTGACCCAAACTAGGGACATAGTCATGGTAGGAGCACTTTGAGGATCTCCTAAATTTGGCTAAATGTATGCCTTTGTAGAGGCAGAGTGTGAGGACTCTTGGGAAGATGAGTCCATCACCTTGGCAGGAGTTGGAAGCAGTTAAAAACCTTCCTGGTAGCAGGGTACCACAGGTGGATGAAATCCTCCCTGAGATGCTGAAAGCCTCTGAACACTGTGTGACTAGTCTGGTTGACTSTTTGTCACATAGCAGACTGGGACACCTGCCAGGACCAGACTGTGGTGGTTTCTATAAATTATGGGTCCTAACAGTGTCTTCCAGCTATTAAAGAATCACACTTCTCAGTCTCAGGAAGGTTTTCTCCTGAGTGTTGGAAGAGACTCAAACCTCAGACTCAGGAGGATTTCACCCGGACCACGGGAACAGTGAACCAGGGCCCRTATTTGTCAAAATTCTTAGAGTGGAAGTTTGGACTTTAGTGTCAAATTTCTTAGGTTTACTCCTACTCTCAGATGCCAGTTATCAAAATGCTTTAAGGGGCAATATCATGTAAAATCTACTTTTTTGAGTTTTACATCATGTTATAATGTTATCCTYTCATCAAAAACATGCACGGAGTCTTACTTTGACTCATACATGCATGTTTGAGAAATCTTGTAGTGTCCWGAGGCAGCTAGGCAGGGGAGAAAAAAACCACCGGTTGGGACTAGAACCACCTTTTGGGATCAGCTCCTCCTCTGGGCTGGGTCTCCAAGCTCAGCTTCCTCATTGCAGAGCATACACACCCACCCCACTGCGACTAAATTTATATTTAACACTAAAATTACCTTAAATATTAAACATTAAATGTTCAGGTGAAATCATACCTCGAGTGATACTAATTGTAAAAAATGTAATTCAAAATAAAGGATTGCATAAATTCTGACCCTCTTTTAAAGCAGTTGTTTTTAAATCAACTCAGCAAAAGTTTGAAAAGTTCAAATCTTCACTGACAAAGAAGACAAAATATATTTTACCTTATTTGTTGGTAAAAGGCAGCGAGTTTAGATTGATTATGACAGATTTATTAAGACAGTTAAAAGAACCAATCATCTGAGGGGGTGAAACCATCCTGTAGGTGTTGTAGATGTGAACACAGTGATATGTCCACTTGTTCAGGAGATATTTCGCTAACAAAGACTATCAACTGCCTTGAAGTTTTGGTAAAGACTGATGAAAACAAGTGAACATGTAAACATGGTTAGTTTTAAAGAACCGCGGGAACAGCAGCTTATTGTTCTCTCTCTCACACACACACACACACACACACACACACACACACAC